AGAGAGAAAATCAGATGAGGAAGGAAGGCCGGACGGATCAGATGCCCGGGAAGGGAGGTTCAGGCGCCTCGGAGTGCAGCTCGGGCAGAGAAAGAGCCTTTGGCTGAAAACTTTGGATCCTCTGCTGAAGGATGCCATAGAGGGCCTTCCGCTCCGAGTACTGGCCGCTTTCAAAGCCGTACGTTCCGATTTCGTCGACGATCCCGGCCGAGACCTCGTACTTGTACAAGCCTTGGAAGAAGCGGATGGCAATCTCCCGGTCAGGCAACGCCTTAGCAGCAAACTCCTCAGGCGTTTGAGTGGCCCAGGCAGCAGCAAGGGCGGCACGCTCCGATTGCTCTTTCTGCAGCTCATCTTCCAGCCGAGCGATTTCTCGGCTGACCGGGCATTTTCGGCCTCCAGCTGATTGATCTTGGCCTGGGCCTGCTCATCGGCCTCTTTCGCAGCCTTGAGGAGACCGTCGTGCTTGGCATAGAGCTGGCGGTAAACCGCACAGTGCTCTGTCCATTTGGCCTCTATCTTCTCTGCCTTGGCCCGGGCAACCTGGGCTTCCTTCCGGCATTCGACCATCATGGCCTTCATCCGGGCCTTCTCCTCATCCATCGACTTCACCAGCCGGGCGAAGTACTCCTCCCCGATCCGGCCGACCTGCTTCAAAGACATCGAAAATTACTCAGAAAAGTATAAAAACGGTAAGTAGGCGGTAGGAGAGGAAAAGGGGTTACCTCATTCAGATCAGCACGGAATGCTCGAAAGAGCTCCTCGTTTGACCTGGACATTAAAGCCAGAGAACGAGGCACTATCGGCCCCTTGCCGGCGTCGGAGGACTAGGCCCCCTGATGGGAAGGCTGGTTGACTTCCTCAGTCTTCCGCTTCTTCCGTTGAAGGGACCCCCCAGAAGTCTCCTCCTTGGCTTCCCTTTCCTCATTGGGCCGGTCTCCCACCCCCGCCTGGGACGTATGCCCAGTCTCACCCATCAGATTGTCGAACTCGAAGGTGTCTACGTTGAAGTAGATCTCCCCCGAGTGAATCGGCTGGCTGGTCCCTTGGTGAGACTAGGCCGGAAGATCATCCATCAAGAGTGGTTGGCTGGATGGAGGAGTGAGTGGCTGAGCGGAGGAGGGCTCCTCAACCACGATTTGGGGGACGGCAAACTTGGATTGAAACTTCACCACTGAAACAAAAAAAGGAACCGGTTAGAAGAATGCAGTTGAGAACAAATTAATTCAAATGAAAAATGAAAAGGGCGGTTGATTGACCTTCCTCCTTCTTCTTCGCCGGGCATGAAGGACCGGCATTGGTAGTGGCCGGGGCTTTGGATCCCCTCGCCTGACGGATGGGGATGGCTTCAGGGATCACCCTGGGCAGAACAATCTCTGGTTCGGGGTCGGTCTCCCGGCCGGGGTAGACGCTCCACTTCCCAACATGGTACAGACCGCGGGTGGACGCTTCATTCTTTTCCCCCAGACGTTTTGGGCAAAAGGAAAGGCACCCGGGGGGAATTTGACACAGACATATTTGTCTTTCCACTTCTTGTTGGAGGGTGGAAGACCACAAAGGAATGCTCGACCTTGGTGGGAAGACACCACCACGAATCTAAGGGTTTCCTTGGACCCGGGCCGAATATCGAACATATAATCAAAGAGGCGAAGAGAAAGAGGAATACGAAGAAACCGGCAGACGTTGATAAAGCTGCCTAACAAACGGTGACCATTAGGGGCCAGCTGCCCGGGCATGATCCCGTAGGTCTCAAGGAAAAGGACTTTGAATGGGTGAATAAAGAACTCACCCAAGTCCTTGATCGAATGGTAATGGATCCCAATCGACGTGTCGGCATGGAGAGGTATAATGCTCTTCCACGTTGCCCGGTAGGTCAATTGATACCCATTGGGCATCAGATTACGCAGTTCGTGGACTTGGGGTTTCTGCATGTACGACGGTTGCTCTTGGAGCAACCGATCGTCTAGCTGAATGAAGCCCTCGTCCCCGGACTGGGCAACCGAGACCACTTGCGCCGCGGAAGAAGAGGGAGCGCAAGTGGAAGCATCAACCGGCTTCTTCTGTGGAGAAGTAGCCGGGTGCTCAGAGTCGGAGGATGAAGAAGAGGAGGAACCAAAGGTGGGAGACCGGCCGCCAGAACCTTAAGAATGAACGGAGGGGTTCTGACTATCCTCACGGTCTGACATGACTCAGAGAAGGAATGAAAGAAACTTACTTGGAGACGATTAGAAGACTCGGAGGACTCGGAAATAGTAGAAGCAGACGGGCAGGTTTTTGAATTGAAGATTTGCAAGTGAGGAAATTCCAAGGAGAACGACGCTTTATATAAGAGAGATGCCGCCCAGACGGGCGAATGAAGAAATGACACGTGGCGGCTGAAATGATTTGCCATCATAACCTCTCGGGGAGACGAAACGGCACGTTAAATCGGCGGCTCTATACCCGACTTCGAGAAGATTCTCCCGCTTTGGACCACCGTTTTTTGAAAATTCAAATTTCAAATTTCAAATTTCAAATTTCAAATATTTTGGGTTGGCGCTGGTTTTCCGAGACGATTTCCCCGCTGAAAAGCGACTGGGCTGTTCAAATTCCAAGAAATGATCCCATGTGCTTCCCGCCCCTGATGGTCCCCACAGGACCGGGAATCGGAGGACTCCTTGATGGGTAATAACCCAAGGATACCACCCGGTTGGTTCACCGAACAGCACACGTCTTTTTCAGCCCGGGTTATTTGACCAGTTGGATGAGGAGACCAGACGCCAATACCCGAAGATCTACTTTCAAAGTGCACCTGGTGGGCCGGTCAGCCGCCTGACCGGTTGGATAATCAGAGACGTGCTTAGGATTATTATAAATACCCTTAAAAGCCTCATTTGTGAGGCATGTTTTAATTAACCTACACGGCTTGTATTTGTAATAACTCCTATTATTCATTAATAACAAATCGGGTTACAGGTGATTCCACCTACAACCCTTCCGATTACTCACACTTAATATTTGCGTGGTAATTTACACCATCAGCAGCCTTGCTGCTCCGCCATCACCACCTCCGCCAACTGCTTCAATTTCAAAAAGAAAAAGGAAGAAACTTGGGGTCCCTACCTTCGAATCCAACATGTACCTTCAATTGGGCTCCATCTTCGTCCAAGATCTAGATTGGAGTCATCAGATCTGTAGAGATATGATGCCTCTTCATCAGATCTGTGTATAGTGATGACACTGCAAGGTGGAGGAAGAAGAAAAGAAAGAAAGAGAGAAAAAGAAGAAGAAGAGGACGGGAGAGAAGAAGAAAAGAAGAAGGAAGAGGGATTTTTGCTGCCCTGGACCGGAAGAAGAAAAGGAGAAGAAGAAAAGAAGAAGAGAGAAGAAGAGAAGAAAAAGAAAGTGTTAGAGTCTATCCCACATCGGAAAGTTGAATAAAAAAAGTTATCGGTATATAAGCTCTTGAGTTGAACTAACTAATAGATTGGATTCAATCTTTTAATGTGGTTCAAACTAAGTGTCTTATTACCCAATTCAGTTGTCCAACCCATCCTAAATTCTATCATGGTATCAGAGCAGGTTTTGGCCCACCTCGTTTGTCAAGGTGTCCGTCTAGACGTTCATTCCTAGCGGCTCATTTGTCTTTAGCCCAGTTGTCTGTATGGAGTATGTACTCAACGGCCTGTGACACGTTTAACACGATTGCTCGTCTGGATGTCCATACCCAGCGGCTCGTGTTCCTTTAGGTGTTGGCGCTCAAAAAAAAAAGAAAGTCAAGGGAATGGGAGTTCATTTGCAAGTGGTCAACCGGTTAGATTCAAAATGGCTCGGTTGTCCATTTGAGGGGGAGTGTTAGAGTCTATCCCACATCGGAAAGTTGAATAAAAAAAGTTATCGGTATATAAGCTCTTGAGTTGAACTAACTAATAGATTGGATTCAATCTTTTAATGTGGTTCAAACTAAGTGTCTTATTACCCAATCCAGTTGTCCAACCCATCCTAAATTCTATCAGAAAGTGTGGAGAGGAGAAGAAGAAAAGAAGAAGAGAGAAGAAGAAAAGAAAAAAGAAAGTGTGGGGGTGAGTGGGTTGCTGCCCTGGACCGGAAGAAAGAAGAAAAGAATAAGGAGTGGGAGGGTAATAAAGTCTTTTTATCATAAAAAAGTTTCCAAAAAAAGAAAATGAGAAGTTTATTTGTGGACGGACGAAAAAGGAAAGTGAGAAGTTTAATTGTGGACGGAGGGAGTAATAATTTAGTAACATTATTAATTTTTTTATAGGTTTACAGGTTGTAATTGGATACAATTTATAAGAGTGGCATTTTTAAGAATGTGTGGCCTGTCATGGAATCAGTAGGTCCCTACCTTTACTCTTACGTGGTGTGCAGCAAAGGTCTCAAAGGGCATATTCGGTCAGGCTATTTTCTTCATGTTATTTATGATATTGTTGGCTTTGATCAAGCTATGTGTTGGGAGTTTTTTTCACACTTGGTGTTATGTTCTTCTTAATACAGGAGTGTGTCCTCCACATGAGGCAATGATCAAGTTATGTGTTGGAATTTTTTATTCCCCATTCGGTGTTTTCTTCGTTATATCAAAGTGTCCTCCACGAGTTATTGTCCCAAAAAAAATATATCTCTCACTATTCACAAGATCAAATTTTAACTTTTTGTCTATATTTATTACTTCACATATAAAATGATATAATCTTGGCACTTTTTGTTTTATAAAATTCTTGATATTATTTTTAAATATTTAAATTTTATTTTTAAATATTACAAGTACATTATTTCTCATATAAATTGAAATTTAAAAGATTTCAATCGAACATCATAACTCATAACAGATAAAATCTTTCGAAGAAGAAGGGTGTAATAGTAAGCAAGTGACTGGATGGAGATCATACCTTAAGATTAAGGTTGACAACAATAGGACGTATAATGGATCCTCCCAATGTCAACAATGCATACAAGAAGTATATTTCATTTCTCACAAATTAAGATGATGATGCTGGATTCAGGCTTGCGCATGTACCCAAAAGTGATAATTCACAAACTGCAAAAGAGAATTATTAGTTCACACATCAAGAACTAATAAATGGTTAATATGTTGAAATTTATTATTCTCTATGCATACCACAATCCTGCCATTAATCTAATCCAAAAAAGTCATGATATGACATTTAGAAAATTTATGATGTTTGAAGCATTCATGTGTTTTTTTATTTTTCAACTCTAAATCATTAAATAAATAAAAGGACTATGATAAACTATCCAATACGGAGTATACTTTTTTGTACCAAAGTTTTTGTACATAATAATCTGTTGTCTATGACTCTATATCCTATTGGGGTATTATCACACATGGAAATTGACATTTATTAATACTTCCAACCTCTTTATTGCATAAAAACAAACAAAACACTACATGAAATAGTATGTTTAAGACACTGCACATCTCTTACCTAAGTATATAGAAGTGCCATAGTCCCTCCACTTCCTGCAAGAAACATAGTGAAAACTTCAAAAATGACCTTGAGGATCTCAGCAATCTGCAGAAATGTACTTTGTAGGGTAAAAAAAGAGATAGCTTTTGAGATTCTCTAAAAAGTTGTTGAGAAAGGAGTATAATTACCTTGAAAAACAACATATCTTGGATATGAGAATTTGCAAAATTGAGTAATAAAATCAAACAATACCATCATGGATTATCTAACAGATTTTTTTATAATGAAAACTACTATAGAAGGGGGGAAATGCTCAAAGAATTAATATACCTAAGCTTTGCTTCAAGAATTTACCCAGTACATGGCTTTAAATACAAAGGATCCAAGATCCTGTATACAATATTTGGATAAACCTTTGGGTCTTAGATTGTGATTATTTTTTTTCTAGTGTTAACTTATTTTAAGAATAAAATAAAATTTGAAATAAAATATGAATTTCTCAAGGATAAAATCATTGTACCGCATCTACTGCCCTAAATATATGTGTTCGTAAATGCTCAAAGCATCAAATGTATGAGCCAAAGAAATTTATCCAGAAAAAAGAGCCAAATTTTGAAAAATCCAAGAATGGTAGTATTTTTCTTGTTCAATATATTGATGACTAAATGGAACTCCCATATAAGTTAAAAAAACAAAAATAGAAAGATTGAGACTTTATCCTATGGTCTCCTTGCTAGTTCTTCTAGTATGAGGGAACACCAACTGAAAATATAAACCCATCTTTCACGAAAGTGAACACCAAATGAAAATAAATAAGAAATTCACTAATTACTTAAGGAAAAATTCACTAAATCCATGTTAAATTTGGGAAATTTTTTGATGAATTTAATATTTGGACAAAAAATGTGATGGTACCCCTAGAGTTCGAGGTCAAAACTAAAAAAATTAAAATTTAGACATTACTAACAAGTCTTTTTGATATGAAACTTTTAGAAAGAATTTTACATTCAAATATAAATATCCATGTCAAATTTGGCAAATTTTTTGATGAATTTAGAATTTGGCCAAAAAATGTGATGGTACGTACCCCTAAAGCTCGAGACCAAAACTAAAAAAATTATAATTTATTATCTCTGTCCCAGAGTATTTGTCCACTTTCATTTTTACACACCATCCAATACACTTCTTTAATCCATTTTATCTTGTAATTTGTATATTAAAAAATTATAGAAATTATATATTAATAATCTATGTGTTAAGACAAATCAAATAAGATCACACATAACTATATTTAGGCTTACACATTGAGAGAATTTGATCAGTCAAAGTGCTTAGATACACAGTTCCAAAAGTCAAAAGTGGACGAATATAGCGGGACGGAGGTAGTATACATTAATAACAAATCTTTTTGACAAGAAACTCTTACAAAGGATTTTACATACAAATAGAAATATCCATGTCAAATTTAGGAAATTTTTTGATGAATTTAATATTTTATATGGATAGATTGGATTGAAATATCCATATAAAATTCGGCAAATTTTTTGATAAATTTAAAATTTGGCCAAAAAATGTGATAATACCCTTAGAGCTTGAGGCTAAAAGTAAAAAAATTATAATTTATACATTACTGACAAGTCTTTTTGACATGAAACTTTTACAAAGGATTATACATGCAAATAGAAATATTCATGTTAAATTTGGGAAACTTTTTGATGAATTTAAAATTTGGCCAAAAGATGGGGTGGTACCCTTAGAGCTCGAGGCCAAAACTAAAAAAAATTATAATTCAGACATTACTCACAAGTCTTTTTTATATGAAACTTTTAGAAAGGATTTTACATGCAAATGTAAATATCCATGTCAAATTCGGAAAATTTTTTGAAAATTTAAAACTTGGCCAAAAAATATGATGGTACCCTAGAGCTCGAGGCCAAAACTAAAAAAATTATAATTTATACATTACTGACAAGTCTTTTTGACATTAAACTTTTAGAAAGGATTTTACATGCAAATAGAAATATCCATGTCAAATTTGGAAAATTTTTTGATGAATTTAAAATTTGGCCAAAAAATGTGGCTCAAGGCCAAAACTAAAAAAAATTATAATTTATACATTACTGACAAGCCTTTTTGAAAAAAACTTTTACATAGGATTTTACATGCAAATAGAAATATCCATGTCAAATTTGGGAAATTTTTTGATGAATTTAAAATTTGGCCAAAAAATGTGATTGCTCGAGGCCAAAACTAAAAAAATTATAATTTATACATTACTGACAAGTCTTTTTGACAGGAAACTTTTAGAAAGGATTTTACATGTAAATATAAATATCCATGTCAAATTTGGAAAATTTTTTGATGAATTTAGAATTTGGTCAAAAAAAGTGATGGTACCCTTGTAGCTCAAGGCCAAAACTAAAAAAATTATAATTTATACATTATTGACAAGTCTTTTTGACATGCAACTTTTACAAAGGATTTTACATGTAAATATAAATATCCATGTCAAATTTGGAAATCTTTTTGATGAATTTTAAAATTCGCCAAAAAATGTGATGGTACCCCTAGAGAGCTCGAGGCCAAAACTAAAAAAATTATAAATTAGACATTAACGACAAGTCTTTTTAACATGAACCTTATACAAAGGAATTTAAAAGCAAATAGAAATATCCAAATCAAATTTGGTTAGTTTTTTGATGAATTTAAAATTTGGCCAAAAATGTGATGGTACCTTAGAGCTCGAGGTCA